CTAAAACCGACTACTAATTCTCACGCCGAAGGTACAACGGGGGACAAAGCTCCGACCTCATTTTGCAGGTAACATTCGTTGATTTGAGCAACCGGAACACCCACACGTCATCATCATCGTGGAGGTAAATTTTGTGATTATTTCATAATAGATCTATTATTGAATTGAATTAATATTCAAATAAATTAAATAACAGATTCTGTTAATTCAAATCTTAGTAATTTATTAATCACGATGAGTTGTGATAGTGAAATATAAATTACATATAATTAAATCTTAAATCATTTATGATCATAAGTAATAACAAGATACGAATATTGTTAGTACTGATAGATCATCACATGTTGCATTTCTTAATTATGAAGTAAGCAACAGATCTCACAAATTAAAGTGTGATGACACTTAAATGAATCATGGATGTTTTGTTATAAAACAAAATATTGGAGACCCCGCTTAGGAGATTCCACATGAAGAACTATTTAAGTGTCGGTGGTTAATCTCTAACGTTCAGTAGAGGAATTGGTCTTTCGACTAGAGGTTATCATAATGCCTTATATAAGGACGGTCATAATTTGGTGATATTGGATATTGCTCTAGCAAAGGTCGCCAATACGATATCATTCAGATATGTCAAAAATATATGAAGGTTGTGAATTATCGATATAGGATTCATCACTCTTAGTTAGTAAAAGATTATGATCCACGTTTCGTTCAGTTAAACTGATAATGAAATCATTGGTCAATGTATACTCATAAGTCGAAAAAGGATTTTCGACTTATATGAATTTAATAGTATGATGAAAGATATAATCTATGATTGAGATGACATGTATCTATATCTCGTAATTGATCGGATCATATTGACAAAAAGATTATAGTTTCACGATAAACAAACAAGTTTGAATTTGTTTAGGAGTGTCACGAGTCGAGTCGAGAGCCGAAACTCGGAGTTAGGACTCGGCTCAAGTAAAAATGGGTTCAAGCTGAGCCGAGCTTTTGCTCGACCAGAAAACTTAGGCTCGATCCGAACATTCGGCTCCGACCTTCACAAGCCAGTCGACTAGATTTTTTTTCCTTTAGTTTAGCTGCCTGCAACCGTTCGAAGGCAGACAACAGCTGCCCTGTCAAAGGTGGCATGCAGCTTTTCTCAACCCTAGAGCCCAATTCAA